GGTCAAAGTCTCGTGGCCCTCTATCATAATCCAGAGTTTTGAGAAGATTGGAGAAACTTAATTTTTCGCCCAAAAATGAAAAAAAACGAAAGGGGTAACACTGTCGTTTTTTTTTCGGGTCGAAATTTTGAATTTTGATATCTCAGCTCTGGAAGGGTCTAGAGCCTCCATTTTTGCACTCAGGTCAAAGTCTCACAGCCCTCTATCATAATCCAGAGTTTTGAGAAGATTGGAGAAACTTAATTTTTCGCCAAAAATGAAAAAAAACGAAAGGGGTAACACTGTCGTTTTTTTTTCGGGTCGAAATTTTGAATTTTGATATCTCAGCTCTGGAAGGGTCTAGAGCCTCCATTTTTGCACTCAGGTCAAAGTCTCGTGGCCCTCTATCATAATCCAGAGTTTTGAGAAGATTGGAGAAACTTAATTTTTCGCCCAAAAATGAAAAAAAAACGAAAGGGGTAACACTGTCGTTTTTTTTTCGGGTCGAAATTTTGAATTTGATATCTCAGCTCTGGAAGGGTCTAGAGCCTCCATTTTTGCACTCAGGTCAAAGTCTCGTGGCCCTCTATCATAATCCAGAGTTTTGAGAAGATTGGAGAAACTTAATTTTTCGCCCAAAAATGAAAAAAAACGAAAGGGGTAACACTGTCGTTTTTTTTTCGGGTCGAAATTTTGAATTTTGATATCTCAGCTCTGGAAGGGTCTAGAGCCTCCATTTTTGCACTCAGGTCAAAGTCTCGTGGCCCTCTATCATAATCCAGAGTTTTGAGAAGATTGGAGAAACTTAATTTTTCGCCCAAAAATGAAAAAAAACGAAAGGGGTAACACTGTCGTTTTTTTTTCGGGTCGAAATTTTGAAATTTGATATCTCAGCTCTGGAAGGGTCTAGAGCCTCCATTTTTGCACTCAGGTCAAAGTCTCGTGGCCCTCTATCATAATCCAGAGTTTTGAGAAGATTGGAGAAACTTAATTTTTCGCCCAAAAATGAAAAAAAACGAAAGGGGTAACACTGTCGTTTTTTTTTTCGGGTCGAAATTTTGAATTTGATATCTCAGCTCTGGAAGGGTCTAGAGCCTCCATTTTTGCACTCAGGTGAAAGTCTCGTGGCCCTCTATCATAATCCAGAGTTTTGAGAAGATTGGAGAAACTTAATTTTTCGCCCAAAATGAAAAAAAAAACGAAAGGGGTAACACTGTCGTTTTTTTTTCGGGTCGAAATTTTGAATTTTGATATCTCAGCTCTGGAAGGGTCTAGAGCCTCCATTTTTGCACTCAGGTCAAAGTCTCGTGGCCCTCTATCATAATCCAGAGTTTTGAGAAGATTGGAGAAACTTAATTTTTCGCCCAAAAATGAAAAAAAACGAAAGGGGTAACACTGTCGTTTTTTTTTCGGGTCGAAATTTTGAATTTGATATCTCAGCTCTGGAAGGGTCTAGAGCCTCCATTTTTGCACTCAGGTCAAAGTCTCGTGGCCCTCTATCATAATCCAGAGTTTTGAGAAGATTGGAGAAACTTAATTTTTCGCCCAAAAATGAAAAAAAACGAAAGGGGTAACACTGTCGTTTTTTTTTTCGGGTCGAAATTTTGAATTTTGATATCTCAGCTCTGGAAGGGTCTAGAGCCTCCATTTTTGCACTCAGGTCAAAGTCTCGTGGCCCTCTATCATAATCCAGAGTTTTGAGAAGATTGGAGAAACTTAATTTTTCGCCCAAAAATGAAAAAAAACGAAAGGGGTAACACTGTCGTTTTTTTTTCGGGTCGAAATTTTGAATTTTGATATCTCAGCTCTGGAAGGGTCTAGAGCCTCCATTTTTGCACTCAGGTCAAAGTCTCGTGGCCCTCTATCATAATCCAGAGTTTTGAGAAGATTGGAGAAACTTAATTTTTCGCCCAAAAATGAAAAAAAAACGAAAGGGGTAACACTGTCGTTTTTTTTTCGGGTCGAAATTTTGAATTTGATATCTCAGCTCTGGAAGGGTCTAGAGCCTCCATTTTTGCACTCAGGTGAAAGTCTCGTGGCCCTCTATCATAATCCAGAGTTTTGAGAAGATTGGAGAAACTTAATTTTTCGCCCAAAAATGAAAAAAAACGAAAGGGGTAACACTGTCGTTTTTTTTTCGGGTCGAAATTTTGAATTTTGATATCTCAGCTCTGGAAGGGTCTAGAGCCTCCATTTTTGCACTCAGGTGAAAGTCTCGTGGCCCTCTATCATAATCCAGAGTTTTGAGAAGATTGGAGAAACTTAATTTTTCGCCCAAAAATGAAAAAAAACGAAAGGGGTAACACTGTCGTTTTTTTTTCGGGTCGAAATTTTGAATTTTGATATCTCAGCTCTGGAAGGGTCTAGAGCCTCCATTTTTGCACTCAGGTGAAAGTCTCGTGGCCCTCTATCATAATCCAGAGTTTTGAGAAGATTGGAGAAACTTAATTTTTCGCCCAAAAATGAAAAAAAAACGAAAGGGGTAACACTGTCGTTTTTTTTTCGGGTCGAAATTTTGAATTTTGATATCTCAGCTCTGGAAGGGTCTAGAGCCTCCATTTTTGCACTCAGGTCAAAGTCTCGTGGCCCTCTATCATAATCCAGAGTTTTGAGAAGATTGGAGAAACTTAATTTTTCGCCCAAAAATGAAAAAAAACGAAAGGGGTAACACTGTCGTTTTTTTTTTCGGGTCGAAATTTTGAAATTTGATATCTCAGCTCTGGAAGGGTCTAGAGCCTCCATTTTTGCACTCAGGTGAAAGTCTCGTGGCCCTCTATCATAATCCAGAGTTTTGAGAAGATTGGAGAAACTTAATTTTTCGCCCAAAAATGAAAAAAAACGAAAGGGGTAACACTGTCGTTTTTTTTTTCGGGTCGAAATTTTGAATTTTGATATCTCAGCTCTGGAAGGGTCTAGAGCCTCCATTTTTGCACTCAGGTGAAAGTCTCGTGGCCCTCTATCATAATCCAGAGTTTTGAGAAGATTGGAGAAACTTAATTTTTCGCCCAAAAATAAAAAAAAACGAAAGGGGTAACACTGTCGTTTTTTTTTTCGGGTCGAAATTTTGAATTTTGATATCTCAGCTCTGGAAGGGTCTAGAGCCTCCATTTTTGCACTCAGGTGAAAGTCTCGTGGCCCTCTATCATAATCCAGAGTTTTGAGAAGATTGGAGAAACTTAATTTTTCGCCCAAAAATGAAAAAAAAACGAAAGGGGTAACACTGTCGTTTTTTTTTTTCGGGTCGAAATTTTGAAATTTGATATCTCAGCTCTGGAAGGGTCTAGAGCCTCCATTTTTGCACTCAGGTGAAAGTCTCGTGGCCCTCTATCATAATCCAGAGTTTTGAGAAGATTGGAGAAACTTAATTTTTCGCCCAAAAATGAAAAAAAACGAAAGGGGTAACACTGTCGTTTTTTTTTCGGGTCGAAATTTTGAATTTTGATATCTCAGCTCTGGAAGGGTCTAGAGCCTCCATTTTTGCACTCAGGTGAAAGTCTCGTGGCCCTCTATCATAATCCAGAGTTTTGAGAAGATTGGAGAAACTTAATTTTTCACCCAAAAATGAAAAAAAAACGAAAGGGGTAACACTGTCGTTTTTTTTTCGGGTCGAAATTTTGAATTTTGATATCTCAGCTCTGGAAGGGTCTAGAGCCTCCATTTTTGCACTCAGGTGAAAGTCTCGTGGCCCTCTATCATAATCCAGAGTTTTGAGAAGATTGGAGAAACTTAATTTTTCGCCCAAAAATGAAAAAAAACGAAAGGGGTAACACTGTCGTTTTTTTTTCGGGTCGAAATTTTGAATTTTGATATCTCAGCTCTGGAAGGGTCTAGAGCCTCCATTTTTGCACTCAGGTGAAAGTCTCGTGGCCCTCTATCATAATCCAGAGTTTTGAGAAGATTGGAGAAACTTAATTTTTCGCCCAAAAATGAAAAAAAACGAAAGGGGTAACACTGTCGTTTTTTTTTTCGGGTCGAAATTTTGAAATTTGATATCTCAGCTCTGGAAGGGTCTAGAGCCTCCATTTTTGCACTCAGGTGAAAGTCTCGTGGCCCTCTATCATAATCCAGAGTTTTGAGAAGATTGGAGAAACTTAATTTTTCGCCCAAAAATGAAAAAAAACGAAAGGGGTAACACTGTCGTTTTTTTTTTCGGGTCGAAATTTTGAATTTTGATATCTCAGCTCTGGAAGGGTCTAGAGCCTCCATTTTTGCACTCAGGTGAAAGTCTCGTGGCCCTCTATCATAATCCAGAGTTTTGAGAAGATTGGAGAAACTTAATTTTTCGCCCAAAAATGAAAAAAACGAAAGGGGTAACACTGTCGTTTTTTTTTCGGGTCGAAATTTTGAATTTTGATATCTCAGCTCTGGAAGGGTCTAGAGCCTCCATTTTTGCACTCAGGTGAAAGTCTTGTGGCCCTCTATCATAATCCAGAGTTTTGAGAAGATTGGAGAAACTTAATTTTTCGCCCGAAAATGAAAAAAAACGAAAGGGGTAACACTGTCGTTTTTTTTTTCGGGTCGAAATTTTGAATTTTGATATCTCAGCTCTGGAAGGGTCTAGATCCTCCATTTTTGCACTCAGGTCAAAGTCTCACAGCCCTCTATCATAATCCAGAGTTTTGAGAAGATTGGAGAAACTTAATTTTTCGGACATGCTTAATGGACACAGGGTCTGAATAGGTTGATTTCTTTGTATTAATTAAACACTAGTAAACTTATGTCCAATGTTCTTTTTTATTTTTTATGAATATAGGATTTGTATTACATCTATATTCATTATAGGCAATTCGAGAATCTAATCAGGAATTGAGAATCGAATCAAATCGATCTGAGAGCTTTCGAAATGAAATCGAATCGAAATTGAACATGTGAATTGATACCCAGCCCTGAAATTGATGTCCCCGTCCCCACCAATTTCAAAATCAAACCTACGCCACTGGTGTGAATTGTGTGAACGACCAGCTCGAATGTGATTTGTGATAGTGAAAATCCCACCAGGAAATAAAGACACAAAACGCGAATTCAATAAACCTTTTTTAATCTTAATAACACATTAGCTTATGTGTGGTCAACAACCATGTTGAAGGTAAATGTAGAATAGTAGAATGTCCAAGGAATGGTGTTCGCCAGCAGGTGTGATTATGATATGGCAACACATTCACTAATATGTTCTTTCTGAACTATTCATAAGAACTATTGCTATTAATACTTTTCAACGGCATATACTGATTGACAAAAAGAAAAAGCACATTTACGAAGCAGTCCAAGAAGCTCCAAACTCCACATGGTGGGGTTATACAGGAACATTTCTGAGGGGACTTTGGTTTTGTACCTGTGTAAAACCTGGGTCTACATTATGTCCTGTAACAATACAAACAGAAACAGAATCAAACTGAAAAACAAAGTTATTAAAGAATAATTCACCCAAAAGAGCAAATGTACTCTCATTATTGTCATTACTTACTTGCCCTCTGGTCGTTCCAAACTCATATGGGCCACTTTCATGATAGTTATATGTCCTTTTTGAGGCTTTTGAATTGTTTCATGGATGAAAGTCAGCCATTCAAGTTTGGATCAAGTGAGTAGAGTATAAATGCACACAGAGCGTTAATTTTTAGGTGAACTATCCCTTGAAGATCTTAACTAAAAAGAACGAAGAAAAGGCACACGGAACACTATCACATTAAATACAATGCATTTTGAAAGCACTTCCAAAGTTTCTAACCCCTATGTTACACAAAACAATCGCCAAGTCGCGCTCTCTCGAATCCTTCTTTGAGAGAGTGCCAGCTTGTGGGGAGCAAGTTATTGGAAAGAGATGATTTTGTCTCTTATTTGACAAAACTAGCAGAGCAGGTTTATCTTACCAATCTGCCGTCTCTTCAGCTACATTTACTTTAGCTTCCATGACAAAGTGCTCCAGTATATTATCTGTTCTGTTAAAAGCCCCGAACCTTGCGATCAATTTGCGTCATGATCGTTCTCTGTAAAGTATCTGAAATCTAGGTTTAGTCACAGACTGTCATTTCAAGTAGAACAGATTTACTAAGTGCTGCTAACAAAAACAATCTTTGTTTTGTCTGTCGTAAATGCAATGAATTGGCCGAACAATCCAGTGTCTTGTGAATAAACGTGAATGCTGATGTATTCTTTAGTGTAAAGGGGTAAATACCACCAAAATAGTAATTGAAATCTCTAAATCATTAAAATGCATGCCGACATCGCCCATGGAGGTGATAATGTCACATGACGCATCCCTTCACAGTGCACCAATTTGAGTGCAGATTCTGAAGAACTGCAATATTAGCGAACAAAATAACACTGTTGTGGCTTGAGTAGAACAGTTTGTTATTTTCAGGGCCTTTAGGATGAGCGTGAGGAGGAAATCCAGTGAACAAAAATAATCACAGCTTCATCCACAAGTATCTGTGGATTTAGACTTGAGCCGTTTAGAAGTTGAGAAACATCCGGTGGCAGCAGTTTTGGGTGGTGCAGTTCCTACTTTTTTTTTATATTGCTTCAATATTGCCATGTGTTTAAAACTAGCATTGCACTTGTCGAGTGTCTTTCGCAATCAAAGTCAGTCGCTTCGATTGACTTTGTTCAGTACAAAACTTGTCAATATTTTGTTGTGCTGTCGATCAGGCTCTGTATTGCAGATCTAGGCTGTCTTTGTGCTACATGTGGCGCGTAGCGAGCAGCTCCTATCCTGCGGTCAGCTTGGAGGCGATGAGGCGAGCCTCCGACGCAACTGGCCCGAACACCACGCCATCCGGCACTCTATTGTGAGAGAGCAGCAGGTGGGACCACTGGAGAACGAGGAGGGAGGTAGGGAGGAGTTTCGTAAATTATAAAGATCACAGCTCGCGTTCGCAACAACCTAAATGTTGGACGTACAAAACTCGATCCGTCCCTGTGACGTCATCTCATCCGTCAGTTCATCCGTAGTGAGTCGGATATCAAGGTAATACTGGTTATTCGAGTCTCAGCCTAGTTCACCAGTACGAAACCGTGCTGGGGGTCCACGGTCTCCATTTCGCTGTCCAGAAACGGGTCGGCCAATGCCAACCCTTCGTACCCAGTCGCGCCGCCCTCCGCGGGTGGAGGCGGCTGCCCGGGATCAAGCGGATAGTCGTATTGCTCCGGGTACAGTGCTTCTCCTGAGGGGGAGTGGCTTGGATCGCAGGCTGAGTAGGTGTAGTTGAGGGGTTCGGGCTGTTGGGGCTGCAGCTGAGCGGAGAAGCTTTGTGGTAGAGGCTGCATCTGAGAGTAATGTCCCAGGTAGGGTTCATATGCTAGGGCTTCTGGGTTTGGCTCCATTAGGTGACCAAGTGGCTGTGTATGTGCAAACAGAGGTGAAGTCTGGGGGTTCTGCGGCTGCTGATGTGCTGGTGCGATCAAACCCGCTGGCTGAGGTGGGGCTCCGGGGTCCTGGTGGCCCATGGTTGCACAGGGAGCGTAAAGGTCCTCCACAATATGCATCTGGTTAAAGTATGTCTGCATTTGAGATTGTTTATGAAGATATAGACGTTTTTGTTGCAGCCTGCGTATCGAACAGAAGGGGTTTAATAGACGGATCACTTGTTTGACATAAAAAAAAAGGCCGCAGTAAAGGGTAGTACCTGTGTTCCTGCAGCTGCTGCTCCAGACTGCGAGGAGTTTCTTTGCAAAACATCTGACAACTGCTGGGGCTGTTGGCCATCTTCTGTGTGGAGATGTAAAACATCAAGGATTGTGTAATGCAGAGCTCTAACAATCGTTCAGCACTGCCATGAAAATCTTGAGAAATACTGCAGTTCATTTTTGGCCTTTTATCACTTTTATTGAGAGAGATCAAGACAGAGAGCAGGACATGGAAAGAACAGAGCTTAGCGCCAACAGCAGAGAAGTATTAAATAATATATTTAAACATCTTTGCAAACGTCAAAACTTATTGGCCATTGGTATTGTGTGGCTGCTAACATGTTTTATGTGGTTGCAAGCATTTTGGAATATATTTGCCAGGGGTGGGAATCTTTTGGTACCTCGGTTAGATTCAGATCGATTTTTAATCAAATTTTGATATGTGCATACTGCATAGATTTGATTGTTATTTCCTGTACTTATTTCAGTGTGGTAGACAGTTTAATAGTCCAAATGAATTTAGTTTTTTGCCCCCCCAATTTTTATTATAAAAAATTCCCGTTAAGCTAACTTCAATCATTACACAGTCTTCTGTAATAAAGCAAGGCAGGGAATTTATATATATATATATATATATTAAAAATAGTAACAAAGCAGCACATTACAAACAATAGGACAAATCCAATAGAAAACAATATAGAAATTAAACAAAACTTAAGTTTTCTAGGTACAGTAGCATAGATTACTACTTTGTCTTCACTGTATGAATTGTATGAATATAAATTGATTCATATTAAAGAAAAAAGTGATTCAGTCAAAAGCAGTGAGTTTTTTAAAAATTAACTTTAATGAAACTGATGGCAACAGTTTATGAGGCTGCTGTCCCTTTAAGAATGAATGCACGCATCTAATAAACTGTTACACATCCGATTCGCGTAGGAAAAATGGTCTCCGTTTACAGTGAATGCTCCAGTCCACACAATGTGCATTTTGACATAATTATGTGTAGCTGTGAAAGAGAACTGAATGAGCCTTGTGGCTTATTGTGATTAACATCAATAACTAATTAGTCAAGTAACTGTAAGTAGTACTGCAAGTCAAAGAAGTGTACCACTTTACAAGAAAAATATTTTTGACATTTGTGAATCAATGCAAATCGATTTTTTAAATATATGAATTGATTTTTTCAGGATTTTGATTTTCTGGATGGTTGCTAGCATCTTGCCATGTTGTTCATCAAGGTTTCAGACTCAGACTACTGCTGTCTGAGCAATAGTGATATTTATGCTTGTCTTAAACTATCATTACTAGGCAACTATTGTAGACCATGAAGCCTAAAAAAATTGCTTTGTAAGCATACACGCATCTCAGATGGGCTATAATGATCATTAGCTGGATGACGTTGGCAGAAACAAAGGTGCGTCACCTGTATTCTGTGAGAGAGGTATTGCGGCTCCAGACTCTGTCTCCTTGACAACAGTGCGGGGTGTGTTCCACCTGAGCATAGAGCCATGTCATGCTGGTGACCTCTTTCCTCCTGCACAAACCATGCATACACACAGAAAACATGTCAGCGCCTCAAATGACACCTCAGCTGTGCACTCAAATGCATAAATTCATTACTTGGTTATGAAAAGGCTGAATAGCTGTCCAGTGACCCAGAGGGAAAAAAATGTCAATCCTACTCAATGGCACAGGATCATATTTTTCACTGTTCTTTTTTCTACTATATTAGCTCAGTCAAATGAACATGATTTAGAGCAGATTTTTTTTTCTTGGACTTCATCTGGACACTGGCGCCTGCCCTGTGCGGTACCCCTCAGTGGCCAGGATTTTTTCATAGGGGTGGCCAGGCAGGGGCCAGCAAACAGTCTGGGTGGCACATAAATCTTAATTATTTTAACATAATAATTAGTTTAAATAATGTACTGTTTATTTGTATTCAATTGTAATTGAGAGAGTAGTGAATTAGGAATCATGGAATACTGAGTGAATTTGATTTTTCTTTATTATTATTAGCTACTTACCACCTAATAAAAGGGACACTTGCTAAAGTTCTTAAATCATATAGTAAACTTGTGCGGTTAGCTTGGTTCTGGTTCTCAAAACCCCCAACATTGTTGCACCTTCATGGATGAGACATGCAGATAACTAGTTCAACTTCAAAGATTTAACCTTCATTGAATTTTATATTTCTTTTACTTTATATCTCTTCAACTTTCTATATTAGCGGTCAAAATCAAGAATCTAAATCGTTCTATCATACCTAATTAAAAAGGGGGGAACATCTCTTTTGAATCCCTATGTGCAAGAATGTGAACACGGCGGAAGTCAACATGCACAGAAATGGCCGAATGTAAAATTAGTTATTTTATGGATTTAAAAATTATGCATTTTATTTTGACCTTTACAAATTAACAAAAAAATACTGCCCATCTTCTAGTACAAATGCACACATTTACAAGTACAAGTGCTCACATTTATTTGTACTTAAAAAAAACCCACATAACCTATTAGTCTGTGCCTCCTATCGCCTTCTTTGATCGCCTTTTCGATTATTTCATGATTAGTTAATTGACGACAGAACTACGGCTACAGCACGCCACATTTGCGCATTATATGCAAGTAGGCCTACAGTACAACATCTGACAAGACAGTAAAAAGTTAGTTTAAAAGTAAGTTAGTAGTTACTGACATTTGTTGACCTTGCATCTTACATCAGATAGCTTACTGATTCAGGATAACAAACTTTTCTCTGCATCTGACACAAGCGTCACAAGCTTTCAACACAGATCTTTCAAAATAAAAGTACAATGAAAAAAATTAAAAAAGAGAATTACGTTGTTATTTCTTAGACTGGACATCTCACTCAAAACGCTCTTGCAACCCTCCAGTTGAGAAACATCAACTATATATTTACTATGCTCCGATCACAGCTTATTCAGCACCACCTGTACTGCACTTGTTTGACTTGCGCCTGGTGCTAAGGTCTCACGTTTTTTGTGGCCTTAAAATACGGTTCTGTGTTTTAAAAAACGCAATTCTTGTAAAAATAAATAAATAAATAAGATAAAAAGAGAGAGAGACAGAAACAGCAGTTGTGAGAGCGGTGGCCAAGCTTTAGCCAAGTGTGGCCATGGCCACCCCCTGGCTCCGCCACTGGTACCCCAACTAGTTATTCCCATACGTGTTTATTCATTGATTCATACTAAATCTCTGTCTTCGGCTTGCATGGAGCAATGGGCACCAGCCACCAGCCTGTTACTCAACAATGGCAGCATTCAGCGGGCTTACCGGATGGACAGTAAACAACTGACAATTGGCTGCTTCTTCTCCAGTCATTACATAAGCGGGCTGTCTGTGTGTCAGTAGAGAGGTTAGAAGGGTAGCAGAGTTCAAGTAAGGGTGTTCTGGAACTTTTTAACCAATGTAACACGCAGTCTTTCTCGGAGTAATACATTTCCCAATAACGTTTTAACCCAACACTCATAGTTCAACTATTTCAACTGTGACCTTTTTACCGCCAATGGAATGCAGACAATAATTACTGAGGGTCTCTTCAAGAAAGTATATTATGTGGAAATAACATATATATATATATATATATATATATATATAGAGAGAGAGAGAGAGAGAGAGAGAGAGAGAATAAAAGTGAATTAGTTTTTATGTTTTGATCAGAGATATTTCTCGTTTGCGGGAGTCCCGCAAATCATTTTATTCTCCCTCAACCCGCACACACACAGTGAGTGAGTGCATTACCTCGCACACTCCCTCTTATGTTCGAACAAACTTCTACAAAATTCGCATTTAGGAGATGTAAGTTTTGAATACTTACAGTCTCTCACTTCCACTAAAATGGATCACGGATTTTCTCTAACATATCTCAGTTAGTGAATTATTGGAGTTACTGGAGTAACATATACTCCGGGATATTGTTTTATTTTGAGTAGGAGGGACTGTCAGGAACGTACGAAAGTGAGTAACTTTAGAAAACTGTGGATCAGCGCTGACTCAAGACGCAACTGTTTTGAACGCTTCAGTTCGATTTGGTGAACTGGTTCGACACGTTAACTAAGAAGAATGAGTAAACATTATGGGAAGCGAGTAAGCCAGACAGATTTTAAACTTTGTCGGTCTGAAGACTCAAGTTTGGTTTGAAGATGAAAAATGCACAAAGCACAATGATCTCTCACCATTCCTGATTTCTAACACCCACTCACAGCATTTGTCATGGTCTTGCGGCTGTCAGAGCATGTGTTTTTCCATTGACTCCAGGCACGTTCATATGTAAATTGCCTGAGCTTATTTTATCCATTATATCGAAATATCTGAAAAAGCCCATACATTTACCCAGCCATAAACCTTCCCCTCAAAGAAATCAAGACAGAAGTGGTTGAAAGTGGACAAAATAGACAGATTCAAACACCAGTTGTAAACACCTGAACCCTTCTTAATACCAGGTGTAAACAAGGCCTTAGATGTTTCCTTGAGGGGCTACCACGTCCCTCTTCTTGCAATCTAGAAGAATGTCCAATGTCATTCTTTCTTTTTGGGGCTTTTCTAATGACAGTTCAAAACACGGTGCTTCGGTAGCCATTGTTTGTACACTCACAACACGTCAGTTGATAGTTCCTCGATCTCGATGACATTACACATGTTGTTAAAGACAGCAAGCAATAATTGGTCGGGAAGCAATGTTTTTTGTCCACAACATGATTTTAGGAGTCAAAATTGCATATCTGACACAGTAATTATCGTGTAGTCTGAAACCAGCATTAGAGACACTACAAAAACAATTTTAGGCCAGCTCAAATCTGTTCTTTCTAGTAGCTCCCCTGGTGGACTGACCTGTAGTGCAGGGTCCAATAAGCCATGTGGATGTACCTGAGGGCTCAGCAGCCCCAGGGAAGGGGTTTCTCCAGAGCCCATCTGCTCATACACCTTATTTAGCTCCAGGATACCTTTGGTCCGTGCCAGATTCTGTAGGTGCTGTCTAAAGGCCACCAAGCCTACATGGAGAGAGGAGTAAGATCATGAATAATAGCACTATTATTTCCAAATGATTTACACATCATCAGATGATATTCCACCACCTGTGTCATCATGAATTCTTACATGGGAGTGTTAGAACAGAGGAAGTGACACATTCCCTCAAGCCCACGCCACCTCTGGCAGCTCCTGTGCGGTTCTACCATGTGACCTCTATTAAAGTTGCTAATCAGTCTATTTCAGGACAAGAAATGTTCAGTCATGGGTGCAAATGCTTTATTCATCGTTCAAGTGCACATTAAAATGCTGTTTAGTGGCTCTTGACTTCTCTGCAGCTAAACGGAAGAGGGTAGATGGTTTGAAAAAAGGGACTCTCTGGTTATTTTAGGCTTTCAAGTGATTAAGGGTAATTATTCAGGCCACAGGATGAGAGAACTCAATAGGACAGAGTTGGCCTAATCTTCAAAGCGTTCCCTGATTCACTCAATGAATCATCTGACACGGGGGTGGGGGTGAATTTAGAGGAGGAAAACAAGAGAAACAGGGAGAGAGCGTGTGAAAATAACAATAAGGGCAAGAGAAGACAAGAAAGAGCAGAGAAATATTTTAGTCTAATGCATTTACCACAGTGCGGTTCAGACGTCTGAGACCACTTTTAAAAACTTTAGTTCACTTTATATTTTAGTACGTTTTATTTTTTAAAAACATTTAATAGAAATTATATCATCAGCATAACAAATTCAAATGTCACATGGTCCTTCAGAAGTCATACTAATATGCTGATTTGATGCTCAAGAAATATTTCTTGTTATTTTCAATGTTGAAAGCAGTTGTGCTGCTCAATTTAGTGGAGACTTTTATGTAGCTTTTTTCAGGATTCTCTATGTATCAAAAGTTTTTAGTAACAATATAAAAGTCTTCACTGTCACTTCAAATCAATTTAATGTCTTTGTTGAATAAATCTATTAATTATTTCATAAAACACAAAAGTGTAGGGACAATAAGAATTTTGTTTATTTATTCTCATGGACAGCACAGGATGTTGCTCACCTTGTGTGAGTGAGGTGTCTGATGCCCTGCGGCCCTCGCGGAAGCTGATGGGAGAGCGGTTGTGTGTCTCTCTCCTCTGGGTGCTCAGCGCTTGCATGGTGGGGTTAGCGGGACGAGCGCTGACGAAGGGCGGAGTCAGGCGGGTGACGGGTGTGTTGGCCAGGACAACCTCGTTAAGAGAGGGCGCATCCTCAAGCAGACTGAAGTCACTGTGCCCAGAGCCCATGTCATACTCGGTGTCCACGCTACCCAGAGAGGGGTTATGACCCATGCTGAACAGTTTACCTGGGTAAAGAGAATGAAATGACACACATTTATATTTTATATTAAGTCCCCTGTGGTGAAAATCAATTTCAAAATCAAGTTTATATGTCTACGCGGTGTTTTTAATATCCATTAAGACAAACCATGTGCAAACGCATAAGTCAACATAATGCATAAGACTGTCTCAAAAACGCGGTTTAAAATCGCTGGTGAATCTGACGCCACAGACTTTGGGACAACGTGTGATCTCAACGAGTGGATCTCTGAGCTGGTGTGAGTGAGTGGAGGCAGAGCTAATTTGCATACTAATAGAACTGCATTTACTAAATGAGGCAAGGGTGTAGTTACATTCAAGCTATTTTAAAGCATGAAGAATTTTTTGTCAAAGAAAAATCATTTAATTATGTAATTTTTGTAATCAAAGATGAGAAATGATTAACTACAAGGGTACTTTTGAAATAGTAGATTATTTTTATTCAAATTGATTTATTGACAATGAAGAGGGGTTTGAACCTAGGTTAGGTTAGGTTAACCTAGGTTAGCCCTAAGCCACACCCACCTCCACTGGTCACGATTCCTGGCTGATTGGTGACCTCAGACAGCGTGTGTCTGCGCTGACCAAAGCGGGCCGTCTGATAGGCGTTGAAGACATGGGTATGATCATCCTCAGTGTCCAGCTCCTCCGTCTCGATGCCTTCGTCTATAGACATCTCCATCATGTTGCTGGGGGACGAGGCGCTGGATTTGCGAACGGCCACGGGGGGCAAGGGGTCCAGCATGCAGCCGTTGACCTGGAAAACAATGTAAAGATCTCTAAATAAGATGTGGCGAACAGTATTTGAGGTGTTTTATTTTTCCAGTAGAAGTGAGAGGTTAGTGAAACAAGTGATTTAAACCATCTCTTCCACTCCACACTGGCAACATTACATACTTGGGTATCAACATTTCCCCCAGACTGTCAGAGTTGAATAATCTTAACTATATTCCACTTTAAAAAAAAAAAAAATTGGAGATAATTTAAAACATTGGACCAACCTACCACTATCACTTATCGGTCGCATTGCTACAATTAAAATGAAAATTTTACCACAAGTCAATTATCTGTTCTCAATGCCTCCAAGAACAGTATTTGAATGATGCTACTGCCATCAGCCATGTTGGTACATCTAACACCTGGTACACATTGTAGGATTTTGTGCTGTCCCAGATGAAAGATGACCAATCGTGGTAATTTCTGTGATCGTGGCTCCTAAACAGTGGTCCAACATCTTACAGCTGCGACCTATGTCAACTGACTAGCCAATCAAAATGCAACATAAAATGGTGGTATTGGTATTAATACCACCATTGGTATTAATTATGGTGTTAAAACTTAAAAACTACTTGGCATGTCATTGTCAATTTTGCAAATGATGCTTGAGGCAAGTTGTTCTCTTTTCCCTAGCCATGACCGTGTCCATATTCTCCTCTTTCACTTCCTCCTCTTTTTTTCATCGAACATCAAAACAACAATTGCCAAAGTGCGATTCATCTGGTTATATTTGTTTACAACAGGCGTATGCTGATGATGTTTTATTCTTCTATACTAACTTGTGTTGTAGCCTACAATTCAATAGGTGTCATCATTGTACAGTCTACATACATGTCAACAACAAAAGTTTATTACATCCATGAAATCCAACAGTCTGTAGCAGGCATTATGGAAAGCCTTCCCTGAATATATTCCCTTGATATTGCAACTGGCTGGTAATTTTTTTTAAATGAAAAATAAAATGTAAATGCGAAATATATTAAGCCCAATTGTGAGACAAAGTTGTTTCTTTATTATTCTGAAGTGGAAGTCTAGTACATTCAACACTAAACTGACTTGAGTTGAATAATGACACTATTATCAGCTATAGCTGTTTTACAGCAGAATTAGAATCTCATATTTGATTCAGTTTGCATTATTAGTTATTTTATATTCCTGCTTATTACTGAAAAGCTGAAAAATTTATCAAGCGCTATAAAAATAATGGCAACTTGACTAGTGTATATGCAATTTATATATTCCTTTAAAATATTTGGTAGATGACAACTTTTCAGGATGTTTCTTTCTATTACTTTGCATGAACTCTCAATTACACTGGTGTTGTAGATAAGACATTTCACCCACATGCCTCCCAGCACTGTATTTCCTGTAAACTTGTTCTAATCTCCAATCAGCCCTAACAAGTCACCCACAGTCCTGAGGCACATTTCCACTCAGTCAGCACCAAGCACATGTACTTTTACGTGCTGTACGACAGGCAGAACTTGATGAACACATTCCCTAATGATTTTGGGACTTAGTGAGAGTAAACAAAAGCTCTGCAGTCTCTCCCTTTTTGCCTCTTTTTATTGCTCCCTCTCTTTCACTCCTGCATTTCGTTCAAACGAATGAGTGAGCTGAAGAGGAGGGGGTGGAAGTCTGGAATGCAGGGACAGGAAGTGTGTTTTGGCTGAGAGGGCTGTCAGAGCCTCATGCAGACAGAGTACACTGAGAGAGACATGCCATCAAACACACACACACACTCAAACCAACATGGATCATCTGGATGAGTTGAGTTTCCTGCAGCATGCTGGGCTAGGAATGCTGTTATCCCAACATACAGTTAAAGACCAGCCACAGATCTTCTTTTTATTATTTCTTCTTTTTTTTGCATTTCAGCCCATCTTTGTGCTCTGTTATTCACACACAAACGTGATCATTCGGACTCTGAACAAATTATGTAATCTCAGCCGTCCCCTCCCCATCAGTGGTTGTGTTGTACTTTTTGAGATCAAGCTTCAGATTTGATGATCTCGTACTGGAAAGAGAGAGACACAATTCCCCCTGATCTTTAAGGTGCCGTCATTTTTTCAATGCTAAAATACTGAATTCGGTCACACTTTCTCAAAAAGTGTTAAGACAATAGCTTTTTGACAATCTCAAATAGTAAGTTTGAGTGGGGGCTATCTGTTTGTCCTGCCAATAGCACGCAGGGACATGTTTAAGAAACCTGTGTGGAAACATACATTATTATTATTATAACACAATGTTGAAAAATGACTTTTTTGCTGATGTCACAAAAAGTTCTCCCATCTATCCTCCAATCATATGGGCTCACAGATTTTTTTTTTTTATGACCTGAACAATTCTTGAACAGGGTTAATCTCATTACCTAAAACTACAACCATAAAAAAAATTTTTACCTAATAAAATGTAAAACTTATTTCCAAGAGAAAGATTTTTATGTTAATTTAGTTAACCTTAAAGTAACAAAATAACTAAAACTAATAAATAAAAACACAAAATTACTAAAACTAAACGTAAACCATAAGAGGATTTTCTTTTACATTTTTTATCAAACACAATGTTAAAGAGAGGAATTAGCTAATAAAGTGTTCAGTATTAAAGCCATGAACGCTAAATTACTCCACATTTCCGAAGATGATAAAATAATGAAACACAGTCTATGAAAGAGTGGGATGACTAAGCCGGAGCGAATGGACAGCTGTCACGTCCAATGTGTCTCACTGCCAGAGACGTCTACAGTCTGACCCCGCTTATGTAAGCCAAACAGCTGTGGACGGCCTCAAGGGGAAACACTCACAGTGTACGTCTCACCTCACCACCAGATCCATAATGACAAAAATGACTAAGGCTACCAAAAACCATCAGTTTTTCCCTCATCGACACAGAATGCAATAAAACAGTGCGAGTGTGAGTGAAAGAAGAGTCTTTGAGAGAACAGATTACTCCTCCTCAAAGAGACAGATAAAAATGAAGACAGCATAACTAGGTCTCGAGTGAGTGAAGTAGCTACGAGTGGCAGAGCTGGCCGGCTCCTGTGCTGTTATTCCTGTTCTGTATGCCAAGCTGGCAGCCGATCTGGCCGTCTGTCAGGATGGTTCTGAACAAAAGCTCCTCGGGGAGCGGGCATGATGAGAAGGCCTGAGCAAACAGCCAGGCCCACTGCCTGACCTTGGAAGGACTAACGTTGCTTAACAGCAATGTAGGGAAGGAGTGTAAGAGCACTCAGCATACTGAAGTCAGACTCACCTCTGTAACAACAGCTGTTTGTACCAGCCTCTCAACAGCCCTGCAGCTTGTACTGACGCTGCTGTATGAGAACTGAACAGAGCTGGGTGATGACATCTGTTTTCTGCAGAACTGCTTTGTAGATGAAATTACTAATTGAATAATTGATGATCTTCTTTTACAATGGAACTGAATCAACGCTGAACTGACTTCAGCTGAACAACAGCCGAAATACATCATTTTTTCTGTTCTCATTGTAAAGCTGCTTTGAAAAATCCGTATTATATGAAGTGCTATATAAATAAAGGTGACTATATCTACCGCTAGCTACCTTCCTACTAGGGGTGTAACAATATATCGTGCACAATATATCGCAATACAAAAATGCAACAATACGTATCGTGAATACCGACAGTCCCCCAAAATAAAAATTACTGTGTGAAGTTTTCACAGTTTTAGTGTCAGTACTACATTGAACTAGCATATATAATGTTGATTATAATGTATAATAATGCAATGGGGGAATATTTGTGGGTTCTGAGAATGCCAAATGTCTGATGTTACCAGTAAAAAGTGGCTGACATTTTTTAAATATATCTATATGTCAGTGTAAGCATGCAAG